TGTATTTCCCAAATACATTTAAAATAGGATAACTTGTTACGGATATTTCCCAAATACATTTAAAATAGGATAACGAGTTATCTAATATGCATTTTTCAAATACAAAGAAGCATAAGCAAAATTAAATTCTAGAAACTCATACAAATCCTGTTAGTCCCAAATTTTATGAAAAACATAAAATTTCACCTTTGACGCTCTACATAACTTTTAAAGAGAACCCTTGGAGCGAATCTTGAATCCTAGTAAGGTATTCAAGTAGTGTGCTTGGTCTCTCTCTTATTGATTGTCCACTATGGCTTCTACAATAGGTACAATAGTGTGCACCTCCCCAAAGCTCTTCACCAAGGATGGATGAGATGAGAGAATAAGAACTTGGGGTGAGAAGAGCGTATTAGCTCTCACTCTTCCAAGTGGCCAGCCAAGGTGATTGGGAGAGAGAGCTTTATGTTTTCTCTCTTCCAATTTTCCAACTTGAAACCCTAAAATGAAATGGTGCCATAGCTTTTATTTTATAGACCCATATATGTGACACATGTGGACTTACTTCCACATATGTGCCGCACCTTACTCTTAGTGGCCTAATTTTGGGCCATCTTGGTCCTTCACATTTATTCTTCAATGTGTTACATGTGTCTAAAGTCCTATGGTCCAATTCTTTAGAGATATTTAGTCACATACCCATTCTTAGCACTAATAATATAGATAAACCCTACACCATTTAATTTCTATAAACAAACCCAAAAAAAACTCAAAAAATGACAGCTGACCCTATTGAATTTAGTTTTGATTATTAAATTACTTTGATGCCCTATTGAATGTTTTGGGTTTTTTTTATGAGGTTTTGGGGTTGAGTTTGTTATAAGAAATCAATGACAGTTTTGTAATTTAAATGAAGTTAAAAGTGTTAATGTATGCATTTTGAGTATTTCTTTTGGCTTCCCTTGACAATCTTGTAATAGGACAATCATTGTATTTTCTCAAGCTCTAGTCTAGATTAAGAATTACATCTCTAGGTATGCTTAATTGGCTACATTATGATGGACAACAATGGGTTTGACAAAAGGTAAATTTTGCATTGCATTACATTGCATTTTCTAACTTCTGAAGATTATGACTAGTCATCATTCCTTTGTATGACTAGTCAACCTCTGCCTTAGTAGGAATTCCAGCTCACTGTTCCAGCTGGATCCTACCCATACATTTTTGTCTTATTCTGCAAAATGGTGTGCTGCCACAGTACGTTTCTGACCTACGGAATTTGGTGTAAAAACATCTGAATTCCTTTTTGGGTAGCCGTCACTTTTGTGGGAAGTTTTTGGAAAGTTTCCTTGGAAACTATCGCTTCTTCCTCAAGAGCTACCTTCATATTTTTCATCCTTGAGTTTTTCCAAATGGTTCCTTTTTGAAAAACTGCATTTGAAATATGAAAACCTCATCTTGCTAGATCAAACATTCTCTCATTTATATCTAGGTCAAATTCATGATTGATTTCTTCAAGAGTATGGTTTCTTGAAGAAATTGGTCATTCTCCTTTGAATCCAAATTTTGGTTTCTGTCTGAGTTGGAGCTTGCAAGCTAGTGCTATGGGATGAACGAGCTGGAGAAGGAGCTGCCATTGCCATGAAGAACTGAGCTTCAAGCTTTGCTAAGTTGGAGAAGAAGATTGCATAAATGAGGTATAGCTCATCTTCCTAAATAGATCTAGGCTTTGCTTGAGCTTGCTTGTATTCCTTTGTAAGAATCCTTTTCTACTTACTGGATTGCCTGGTCGGTTGATGACCTCCAATTTTTCCCAATGGTGGATTTCTAGGTGAACAAAATCTGGTTTGCATATCTATAATTTTTCTGGGTTTGTGTTCTTGGTGGTTGACTAGTCATCGTATGATTTCTGGGTTTGTGTCCTGGTAGTTGACTAGTTATCATTATCTGATGTTTGGTATTTACTTGATTATAATGCTTTCACACACTTCCACCATAGTTGTTGCTAGCACAGGGGATGCCTAGATTGACGGGTTCTTCTGAGTGCCTAGGTTGTCACTAGTATTTTTCTAGGGTTGTAGGTACATTGTGGCATGCTCTGTGTGTATTCTTGATTGTGGTTGTTCATGACTAACAGTTGACTAGTCATAAATGTATTGGTCAAGGTCTAAAGTCTGTGAAGCTTGTTGTGGTTGTGTTTGTGTCATTTAATTTACCCCTCGTCACCTAAATGCCAATTTCAAAAAGCCTTTTTGTTATGTTGTAAATGAGCTTTGGGTGTGTTTCTAAAGTCCTTTTCATATAGGGTTTTTTTATATAATTTGGGCTCTTATATTGGGTATAATAGTGAATCTCCCAATTCTTTATTCCTTAAGTCATGTGGGACCCAATTAATTTTTATTTATTTATTTAATTGATAATTTGATTTGATGTGTTTATTTAATTGATAAATTATAGTCAATTAGTCATAGTTATAGATATAAAACCCTTATTTTGTTATAATTATACAGTTATGGAACGGTACTTTAAGAGAAAGAGTTTAAATCCTTCTTCAAATAATCCGGGCAGTTCAAATCTTCCTTCAAATAATTCGGCTAGTAACAAGATTTTTAAGTTGGGCTTGGGCTCATTTGAACTGTAAATTGAGATGCTTGTTTTCATTTGTGATGGACTTAGTGATCGGTTCATAATTGTATATCATTTTGTACCCTTCTAGCTTATGATTTGGTTATGTTATTGAGTTAAACTTGTGCTTTTAATCCATTTTCTATTTTGATAAGTCCATAATTTCATACACTTGCTTGCCTTCTTTACTTAGTGATTTTGCTTAGTTTCTCTTTATTTTGAGTCACTTACCTCTGTTTGTGTGTTTTGTAGGTTAAGATAGCAAGAGATCACATTTGATGTAATCCATGCATGTTAAGGGCTGATTGGGATAAGAGCAAGAGCTTAAAGACAAAACCAAAGTTGGGCCACACTTCTTGTCAGTCCAGTTTCGTAAGTCACCTTGCAGGTCTCATTTCAGCAATCTACACAACTCGGATGAGGAGACATTCTTCATAGAAGTTGTTCAATTGGGTGTCTAGTATAACATATCTAAAATGCAGCCCAATTGAACATATGTGGAGTCCTTAGCCCGTCCAACACTGAACCATGCTCAGGAGGATTTGCAGCTGCCAGCTTTGAGCCTTGTCTCCTCCTTTAAGCCATGTGCCTCACCCATGCTGCAACTGACTTTGGATCCAACATAATGAGTGAAGTGGGGAGGCATTCCAGCTATGATAGTCTAAAGGATCAAGTTGGTACATGCTGGAGTTATTATAGAGAAAGCATGTGCATGCATGTGAAGCACAAAGAAAGAAAAGAAATGAAATGAAGTCAATTCCAGTCTCTGTTCGGCAGCCAACTTGCAAGGCCCAAAACGCACACTTCTACTGCTCCGATGGGAATACTTTCTTCATAGAAGTTGTTCCAATGGGTGTCTTGTATAACATATCCAAATTTGAGCCCCATTGAATACGTTTTGAAACCTTTGACCTTCCTACGCCATGATCCAATTTAGTTTCCCTACACAAAACAGAAATGAAAAAAAAGAAAATAAATAAAACCAGAAAAAGGAAATACCTCAAGCAAATAAGTTCCCAAGTTCAATTTATATTAATGGATTGATTCTAGCTAAAGTATGATTAAGTCATGGTGTGTGGTCATAACCTTGTGTTCCTAATTCCCTACTTTGATCATTTGTTGTCTAACCTAAAATTAAGCATTAGGAACCCATTAAGCATAGAAGAACATTTTAAACAACCAAGTATGTATCTAATCCCTGTTGTCGAATGTCCATACATACTCTTCCTATTCATAGTTCAATTCGAATTAAAGTATGGTGTCTACTCTTAATTCAAACCAAGATAGCTAACATGTAAGCCTAAATGGTGATCAATCATTCAAACTAGCCTATTAACTTATAAGCATAATGAATAAGAACAAAAACCATAATTGAAACTTGGAAACTAATTCAACTTGAAAACTTAAGAAAAGAATTTACATAACAAAGAAAAATAAATTACAACTAAGAAAACATTAAGGAAACTAAGAGAACTTTGAGGAAGAAAGGAAGTGTTTGAGAACTTTGAGGAGGGAGAAGAAAGTGTTTGGGAACTTGATTAGTTTCCAAGTTTCAATTATGGTTCATGTTCTTATTCATTATTCTTATAAGTTAATATGCTAGTTTGAATGATTGATCACCATTTAGGCTTGCATGTTAGCTATCTTGGTTTGAATTAAGAGTATACACCATGGTTTAATTCGAATTGAACTATGAATAGGAAGAGTATGTATGGACATTCGACAACAGGGATTAGATACATGCTTGGTTGTTTAAATTGTTCTTCTATGCTTAATGGGTTCCTAATGCTTAATTTTAGGTTAGACAACAAATGATCAAATTAGGGAATTAGGAACACAAGGTTATGACCAAACACCATGGCTTAATCATACTTTAGCTAGAATCAATCCGTTAATCTAATTGAACTTGGGAACTTATTTGCTTGAGTTATTTCCTTTTTTTCTTGTTTTATTTATTTTCTTTTTCATTTCTGTTTTTGTGAAGGGGAAATGAATTGGATCATTCAATCACCAATCCTCGTGGGATCGACCTCGCACTTACATATGCTATACTACCAAACGGCTCGTGCACTTGCGAGTATCACAAGTTGAGGATGCAGCTGAATCCATTTTGGTGCAGCTGAATCGAAGCAACACGTAGTTTCCAGAATTGTTTCTTAAATTGGACTTGATCAACTTTTATTTTTACTTTTTCATAAGCGAATTGGACTTGAAATTTGAGTTGAATGAAACAATAATTTTTCTAACTTTAACTTTGGGCTGGAGTAAACTTGACAGAAATCTGCCATAACGAAAATAATTTATTATTCACTCAAGAAAGACAATGTAACATAAAAATTACTTGGATGTTACAATTATTCTCACAAATCATGTAAACATTTAAAATAAATTGAGATCGATGGAAGAAAAAGAAAGTGAATTTCTAAATCTAAGACTTGGAACAAGGAGGCATATAAGCAGGTGGTGAGCGAATCTTTCTTTCAGTAGTGTTTCCATTCCTCACAATGAGCACAGTGTCCATTCCCCAGCTGGAATGCCTTTCCAAATGACAGTGCATAAACCATACTCCTGAAAATATTATCAAATAATTTCTTTAATTAATTTGCCTTTAAATCAAGCAAGTGACATGATGTGCATCTTATTAAGACTTACCAGGATTGTCAGCTACAAATCTGATGGCTGCCCATCCATTCTTTGGAACTCCAATAGTGTTTACTTCTGGTGGATCAACCAAATTGTAGGTCTTAGGCGACGTCGTACTGTTGAAGTTCCCAGAACCAGTTCCAACCACATAGAAGCTGTAACCATGGAGATGCATTGGATGGTTCTCAGGTGCAATGATGTTGGTCCCTTGGAAGACTATCTCAACTCCTTCACCATATTTGATCATCCTCACTCTCGTCCCAAAGCTCGGGTATATTGTGTTGTTACCAACATCTCCGGTGAAGTTGAAAGTATAAGGTGGCTTATTCGGGAAACTAGTACTATAAACTCCATTATTATTTCCCCTGCAAATAGGCAATAAGGTTATGTTATCTCCCGTGTACTTCATAGATTATCCTTGCAAAAAATTAGAACTCCACAAAATTTTTTTTTCCTCCAATTGAACTGCAACTTCATCAACCAAAACCTAAGGGGGTGTTTGGTATCAGATTCAAGTATGGAACTCAAAAACTTTAATTTTTCTTAAAGATAAGGAGTTCTAAAATCCATTTTTTTAAATTCAAAAAAATTTGGTATGCAACTTGAAATTTATTTCTAAATCTTAAAAAATATGAGCAAGGGAAAAAATTCTTTAAAACACCATATATATTTTTTGTTTTCAAGTATTTGGGTATTTTTTGGGTTTGGGCGGCCTACCAAACAGATATTTTGAGATTTTGACTCCAATTCTGTTTTTGAGTTTAAAATTTTGGACTCAAATAGAATACCAAATAGGCCCTAAATGTAAGCAGTGGTAGAGATATATGATATGTACCGATAGTATGCTTGCAGTATGTCAACAGAGGGGAGCTCGAAACTGATGTTGTTTAAGCTTGCAGAAAGCGCATTTCCATCTGGCCCACTACAAGAAGAGTTGGGACAAATTCTTTCATTTATGGCAATAGAGATAATGATCTTTGAATCGATTTCTAATGGGACACTAATAGGGTGTTCTTTGCTTGCCAATGCCCTTATTTGGCTAGTGAAGTTGTCAGCAGCTGTTTCGTTGTCGTAATCGGGAAGAGTCGGGAAGGGAGTGGTGGACGGGGCGCTGTAGTTGCCGTTGTATTGAACAATGGCAGTGGTGGTGCTGTTGTTGAATGCAACGGTCCCATCAACATAAGCCTTAGAAGCAATGTAATAGTGGCTGGGAGGTTGGTTTGCAGTGACCAAAATGTCCATGGTTTGGCCTGGAGTTATCATGATGTAAGAGGTGGTTATAGGTTTTATGTAGGCAGCATCTTGAGCTACCACCGTGAGGGTATGGTTGGCGATGGCAAAGAATTGTTCTTCGTTCATCACGGCATTGATGACTCGGAGAAGATAGGTCTTTCCATAATCAACCAACCAACGATATGTTGTTTCTGCAACATTAAAAATAAATAACTTTTAGAACATATCACATATTTATGTAAAAAATAAAATAGTTATTACCAGGGGCCAAGCAAAAGCTAGGTTTGAAGTGGCCTTGACCCTCTGACCTGTCTTACAACGGCCTCCAACATATGGAAAATTTCATAAATTCCGTTTCTTTTCCCCTTTAAGATGGTAAATACATTATGTTTTTATACAAGCAATATTCTACTTTAATCTAATCTAAATTACGGGGAAGGAGATTTGAACTCGGGTGCAGAGTAGGGAGTACATTCGCTCTAGCCAACTTGTTCAACCCCATATCCGCAGACATTTACAATTACAATAATGTTATTTGTACGATATTTATTGATCACTTTGCTAACCCACCTTTATTAACGAGATAGTCAACAATATGTTCAATTAATGTGATACAAATAGTAGTGTGAAATAATTTCTTTTTATGGTGAAATAATAATACGTCCCTTTAATTGGTAAAACAATTGTTGTTGTACATGGACTACTAATTCCATGTAAACAGACCATATATCGAGCATGGCTTGGTCATGGATACCAATATACAAGAAACCAACATGATTTGAAAAGTAATTTTCATTTATATAAGTGAATTTGAATAGTGATTTTCAATCCTTTTCTTCCAATTTTATACATTTTTTGATTACTACGTTTTGCTAACTCAGAAAAGCTATAAATCATCCGTTTGCATGTTATTATATTCCATAGACACCTAAAAGTCTTCTTCATCAAAGCATAGTGTTATTATGTCAAATCCAGTTATTATAAAAACACCCCTTTGCTTCTTTTCTAACTTATGCATAAATAATGCAGAGGACCCACACCATACTAGTGTAGTGGTATATAGTATTTATTCCTTAAGACAAGGTCCTGGGTTCGAGTCCTAACATCAGTATAGTGTGTGTGAGTTTAATATACTATCGCCCTTCTAAATAGGAAAGGTCTTAAAAAAAATTTACATATATATAAATAATTAACAACAGTATTAAAGTAGATTAAGTTTGGATCTTTGATTATAATTACCATTAGAACAATCATACAAATCTCCGGGCTGGCCGTTGATTACGAAGGCATCTGAAATGTTTGGATCGCCACCTGATGCAAGGGCGTATTCAATTAATTCCATCACATCTCCCTTGAACCAGGAGCCTACAAGCAACCCACATATGAAATATATAATTATTAAGTTCTATATACAATTTAATTATTTGTATTCTCCAGCATAAATCCAAGGGAACAACTGTACGATGCAACATCTCTTTCGTTCCATAATTATTTTTATTGGTTTTGCATGTTTAAAAATACATCCCCTTTTGTCTTTATACTTCTCAATACACATACAAATTACGTACGTTGGATTCAAACTTGAAACAAAATTAGAAGTATCAAATTCTTATATTCAGTATATCTAACATAACACCAAAAATAACTCTAATCAAAGTCAAAATTTTGTCTTCGAATTCGGCATGCAAGAAAATAAATACGAGTAATGACTTTTGGATGTTCTTAATTATAAATTATTTTGCTTATGAACAGTGTTCTAATAACATAACATTTCACTAAATGATGAATATATAATATTGAAAAATTGAGAGTATATATAGAATGTTCTATACGTTAAGGGCAACGTCATAGGAAAATACAACAAATTCTTGTATTCTACTTCCACATGCTAAACAGTAGACCCATAATTAAATTCCAAATCCTGATTATGTCATCTTAAGTGTTTTTTTATTTTATTAAAATTTTCTTCTTTTAATAAGTGAGAGGTGCTAGGCACGATGACCATATAGCACCCATCATCAGATCCGACAATATATAAATAACGTGGAGGTTAGAATATAATTTAGGGCAAGTCTTTTTATATTCATTAATAGTATTAAATGAGGCGATGATAGAGAGGACTTGAAATTAATAGTAATTAATTTAAAAAATAGATATAAATTATATGCGAATGATAATAAAGTACCTAGAATAAGTGTTTCTTGTGCATCTGGTGTTGCAAATGGATAGGTCGTGTTGAGAGCTGGTAGAATAACAATGGCACCATAGACGGTGGCACGTGTCCAATCACTGTGAGCATGCCACCATAAAGTTCCTTCTTCACTGGAGAAGATAACTTCGTATGTAAAATTTGTTCCTGCTGGAATAGGGCACTGAGTTACGTTCTCGGGTCCATCTGACCATGGATTTCTTGGTTGCTTCACTCCATGCCTGTAAATATATTAAACAAAAAGGTCAGTATGTGTATTTTTTTCCCATAGTTTGGGAGGGTAAAGAGGTTTTCTCACACACACTATCGTGAGTATTCGAATTTGAGACCACTTATTTGTAAGTCAAGACCTTTTTTTATCGGGCTAGACTGGTTGACAAGTATGTGTTTTTTTTTGTTACATTGGGAGGAAAGAAACCCCTTGGAGTTTCGAATCTGGGTGTTAAGCAGGGAGAAGGGGAGGCCACCACTGTGGTACCTGCTCTCGACACAAGTATGTGTTTTTTCTTTTCTTTTCATGTTGTACTTTTTCAAGCCGCCAAAATAAAATGGAAGTTTCTATTTTTGTGTTTATTGAAAAAAAATCTAAAGCCGATGGAAAGTGTTCCATTGAGGATGCCCACAGCTTCCCTCCTCCTCCCCATCTCTTTGTTTTTTGGGAGTTTCACTAAAACACCAAAAATGGGGGCTGAAATTATAAAAAAACCCAACACCCAAAACATTTTATAAACACACCCAAAATCCATCATTACACACACTCAAAACCCATTTATAAACACACCCAAAAAATATACAATTGTTGATTTTGGGTGTGTTTCTATGTTTAAATAGTGCGTGAGTTTTTTTATAAATACATGTCTAGGATTGGGTTTATTTATAATAATCTATTGTTTTTTTCGACAGATATTATTCACACTTTCACTTTCTCATCACCTCTTTTTTTTTCGACAGACTTGTTCACATCTTCACTTTGTTATCATCATGCATTCTAAATTTAATATTTTATCCTTTTAGAACCCTTGGAGAAGAAATACTCCATGAAAACATGATCTCTCTCTCTCTCTCTCTCTCTCTCTCTGTACTAGAAAAACAGTCACTGGCTACTCAATGGTCATGAGTCTCTTCCTGGAAGTAAGCTAATCGAATTCGGCAGGAGAGCCCCGTCATGAGACAGGAAAATGAAGGATATTGTAAGCGGAACAGTTCTTTTCAATCCACACAAACGCACCTACTAGGACCTAGCTATCAACGATCCATACTTTTTCCACCAAGCTTATAATTTTTTTTTTTTGGGTAAGTATCTACCAAGCTTATTTTCAAACCGCACTTACTTATCTATCCATGACAACGAGTCTTGGACTCTTGGTCAATGTGAAAAAAAATAAAAAACACGCAGATCTAGCTATAGGTTAATGGGATTTACCAATGAATTGTGAGACCATATAATCCCTGGTTGTGGACATTGACGAAAGCAGTGTCTCCTTTTTGAACAGTGATCGTCGGGCCCGGCAAACTGCCATTCACAGTTAAGATGCTCTTTGTGCTGCAAAGCCTTGTAAAATTCGTTTCTTTTAGCTGCACAATATCACAAAACAAACCCCAACATTTTATTACACAACTCTAGTGAAACACCCATAAAGAAAAGCAACGATATGGTATTAGTGTAATGTAGCAAGCACTTACAACAAAATCATAATGATGAATAGCTCCATTGGCGTTGGAAAGCCCACCCAAGAACATAAACCCTAAAAAAGCCAAGACCCAACTCATTTTGTTATAGAACCCCATTCTCAGATATTTTTCTGAAAATTAATTTCCTTGTGTGTTCTTCAGGTTGCCCTCGAGAGCTTGTGTGGTTTTTGTCTCTGCCCGAGAGCTGTATATATAGAAGACGACTTCATAGCAAGTTGGTTTGATTAGTAGACACGTTTCCCAGCTCCCACTTGATTGAACATTTCAAATTATCGTACCTAACTGAAAAAAGTTTAAAATAAATTTTAAAACATATGGAAAACGAAGTACATATCTCTAACTCTAAGGCACCGAAGGAAAACCATGTGGTATTAGCTTTGTTGGTCAGAATTTTGGATACTTAGTATATGTTGAAGAATATAAGTCCCACATCGGAAACTTGATTAAATAAAATACAAGATATAATGAATAGTTCCACTACTAATATCACCGAGGCCTTTTGTGATAAAATATCACACTTATTAGGTTTTGTAGGTGATTAAGTTGAAGACAATATCGGTGTTACTAGTAGTGGGCCACTGATCCGTCTCTCTGAAATTTAACACTACATGCACAAAACACTTCAATTATTATTATATTTCTTATGAACCTTACTGATATGACATACTAACAAGGCTAAGAAATAGTTATGCCAAACTCTAATTAATATTCGACGAACAAATTAATGTCAGAATATTTGTTTCCTTTCTTTGTCCTTTTTTTTTATTTATATATAACATTGTTTGAATCCTTGTAAACAATAAGTTTTGCTAATGGTGCACAAGTGATGTTTTACTCTTTATTTATGGATTTTTCGTTCAATTATATATAAAATTTGAGATATCGACTGAAGCTATATATATATTCTTTTTCTATAAGAACCCGGCTGTAGATCAAGATTAAAAGTCAGTTAACCTGCTCCTTCGCTGCAGGGCTGAATCCAAAAAAGCATTCTTAATTTCACAGATTTTACCTGCTCCAAATTCTTCAATACAGTATACATTAATGACATAATACGATATAGGCCAAGCCCTAGACAACCAGTGTAAATATTATCAAAAGACCTTCTGCCTAAGATTAAAATACAAAAGACGACTATATAGTTCCAGCTGAACTTATAATATCATGGACCGACCGACAACCGACAGTCTGTAAAAACAGCCATTTTTGTGATTCCATATGAAACCTCCAAAAACAACCAAAAAACTCATGAAGTCAACACGGGCATATTAAGTTAAATCATACTATTTAACTTTCGTTCATGTAAACGTATGTTTATTGGCCCTACATTTTAAAGGTAGAAAATATCAACTCTATCTTCCACTCATATAATAACACGTCTATTTCACGTAATCGTACTCCATATATCCCGGTATTAGAATGACCAAATTTCAGATGTTGTAATGTTTCTACACTAATTGGATTGGATCAGATTGAATTGGACAGCTAGGGGAACAATTAATTAATTTGTTCAAATTAATTCCGGGATCCGTCCACTGGATTGAAAGCTTTGAAATATTCCATGCTTGGTTCTAGGGCAAAGCACTAGCAGCCACCGCTCGGCCAATTTTTCTTGCCCAATTGCCATATTATTCTGGGTCTGCCAAATGGAGTGCACGCATTAATTAATCATGATGAAACAATATCTTTACATTCTTCATCACCATCTGTTTTTCAAGTTGACCATGGGACTCACATGTTGACACGTCACCGTTCAAATAAAATTCGAATATTTATTATTATTATTATTTTTAAAGCCACCTTGAGAATGGATTGAATTGAACTATTTAGGAGATTTTGTTATGCGAGCACAATGAGGCGTGTGGGCCTTTCAACTTTTGACAAACGTCAAATTGCTACGTGGCTTAGTTAAAGCCAGAGTTTGCCATCCAAGTGCATTTGCCATAATAACAGATTTTGATGTGCTAATTGTTCCACTACTAATTCTAGCTAGCTTGCGTATGATTCTTTCCTACTCCTAAGTTTACTGTCAGGGTTCTACTGAGAAAAAGGTGGATTCTATACTATACGATGGATAGAATTAGTGCAAGTACTCCTAGAATTTGGTAAGTAATCACTAGGTATGTTGCGCGACGTTTTTCCTGACTTGTGAGTGGTCAGCTAGACCAAAATGCATGCTGTAGGGATAGAGAATATACATTGGATTGGTTTGAGTTGCACCTGCTTATTTGCAGTACGCTTTTTTTAGGGTTTATTTGTTTGGAGTCCGGCTTTAAGCGCTAGAGGGATCCCTCAAATAACTTTATTTAAAGGAAATTTTTGTTGAGTCCATTCCGCATTCAATGATTCAAAGATCCTCTCTACAAAGAATCACTTGTATTCGAAACCATTTGACAACTAAATTAAATGGTTGTTATTTTAGTATTCTTTTCTTAGCAGCTTTCAATTTGTCTATTTATTGAGAAGGATAATCTTTGAACGAATGATTAAAAATTAGACGATTCAGATTGTGGAAGTAAAATTCATAGGAGATCTCACAAAATATCCCTCAAATAAGATTATTCAGGGTATCTAACAAGAGTACAAATTGCTTTTTTCCTTCTCCAAGTTATATATGGCCAAATTAAGCATGTGTTATATATGCACTTATATTTGTATGTATAGTAGTAGTTAAGGGTAGTTTTCATTTTTTTTAAACAGAAGTGCAGTCGTATAGGGATTGGGACTTTGACTCAAATATAAGGCGCACATTTTGTGCATGCAAAAATCAACTGGTGGATAATTAGTCATGTATTTATGGGTTTCTGATCAATGTGATGTAACAATCATTAACAATTGTATACATCTAAACCCTAGTTATACTAGCGAGCATGCAGTATTGAAATCATTGGGATAGTCATCTATTGAAATACATGTGTATTGTCACCTCATTTATTTTTTCACGTGAAATACACACCTTGCAGCTTTAGGTTTTCTGTCATAACAAATTTATTGTCTTATTATGGCTTCAATGATTGGCAGCCAGCTGCATTGCTTTTAGGGCTCACACTTTTGGTAAAACGTGAGCTAAGGTCAAAGGAGCCATCACTTCATTCATTGCTTTTTGAGAGGTTTTCTTATGCTCTGCATTTTGTATGTAGGAGAATCATACACATTATCATTTAGATCTAGGTCAGATTCTTAGATGATCAATTTATTGAAGAATGCTTTCTGGAAGAAATCGATCTCTTTTTTTTATTTTATTGAATCTATATTTCATTAAACTGTTTGAATCCGAGTTGTGCCGCTGGTGCTGTGGAGTGCTGAGGAGAAGCTCCCATGTCTATGAAGAACTAGCTGCTAGCTTGACTAATAAGGTGGAGAAGAAGGTTGAACAGTATTGCTTATTTTCTAAATAGATCTAGGATTCCTTTGAGCTTGTGATTACTTTTTTTTGTAAGAATCTCTTCTACTTAGTTGATTGCCTGGTCAGATATAACCTCCATTTTTTCCTAGTGGTGTCTTTTCGAGTGAACATTTTTGTGTGTTGTTCTTGATTTTATGACTAATCATAATATGTCTTTTATCTCTTAGAAGTTTTAATGGATGTTTACATACCTCTCATTGTAGTTGTTGCTAGGACTGGAGATGCCTAAATTGATGGATCCCTCAAATTTTTTGAGGGACCCTTGTAGGCCCACCATGCATTGTATTTCAATGATCTGAATGTCTAGTTTTTAGATATTACCTCAAAGATCATCTCTGCAAAAAATCACTTGAATCTGAAACCATTTAACTACTCAATTAGATGGTTGTTATTATAATCTTTTCTTGAAGCACCATGTTCTTATATTTTATTGATCCAAACTAGGTGCCTTAATGATTTTCAATTTGCATGATTTTTTTCAAGGATGGTCTATGAATGAAGACTTGAAAAATAGATGGTTTGGATCGTTGACAAAACATTTCGTAGGGGACTTTAAAAGGTGTCCCTCTAATAAACCCCTCGATAGAAGAAAACTACATATATATTGATTTTGATTACAAGTCACTCTTTTCCATCGGAAAATTACAAATTAGATGTATTAATTAAGAACATTGTTGATGACAAAGCTACTAAGCACTTACCAACACGTTTCCCTTTATATATGTTTTGTCAAATAATTTAAAACCCCTATTTGTTTTGTGAAATAATTTTTGTGCCTCTTTGTTTAGCATCGTATCCCCGTTCTTAAGCACAGATAATGAGATTTTTTTTTTTTTTTGATGAGACAGATAATGAGATTTTATTCCTTATAGTCGATTACTTTCTTGACATGTAAGCATGGTATGATTTTGTCGATTTCTTTTTACCTATATGATGGAGACCTTCTGGAATTATTTTTTTAATACTTCGTGGCTTATCATGATATAAGGGAAAGCGTAAAAACGTGTCCAAAGAAAATCTTAGTTTGTTTTATGAAAGAAACATTTAACATTAAATATACGAAATTTGTGAAAGGATATATGTTTACGTTAGCAGCAGCATCTATAGCCTGCATAGTCTTAAGAAAAAAAAAACGGTGTGCACCCTATCTTGTGCAAAACAAGTGTTATTATTTGGTGTCACTCTGCCGATGATGCCAATTATTTCAATACAAAATCGGCGTCCCTTATCTGAATAAGATTACGAAACTTCCTATTCTTCCTAAAACCAAATATTTTGCTTGGAATTGGCAATTGGGGGGATTCTCAAATCATATGGATGATCTTAATTGGTATTATTTTGAAACATTTGTTAATACATATATGATTTTTCCCTAAATAGACCACCAAAACATGTGTTAATTAAAATCCAGCCCATAAAATTCGAACCTAAAAGGTGCTTCAAATTGCCTCTTTGTTCAGTTGGGGGTGGTGCACTCCAGGTGCACAAATGACCTTAGTTCCATCTTCAGCATTTAAGTAAAAGTCTTTGTCCTTTTACTTTCATTTATTTTTATATTACTTCATTTACTTAAGTTTACAATGTAAAAAAGGAAGTACCCCCATTTGGATTCAAATAAAAATATTAGAAAATCAAATTCTCACCAAATCAAAATATGAAAAATCGATTTTAATGCAAAATACAATTTAGG